CCCCCCCCCCCCCCTTCCATCCAATTGGAAAGTTACGATCGTGGGGGGAGTCACGAGTTTATAGATAAAATTATGGAAATTTTGGGGTTTTTTGTCTCAAACTGACGACTTTTTTTTGCTCAAATTTTTCGATTCTTAGTCGAGGTAAGTTCTGGGTTTTGTTTTAATTAGTGAAGTTCATTTTATGGAGTGCTCAAACACGTGTGACACCAGCAATGAATTCAACAGGTTTCACATGCACTCGTTCATGAGTTTACCGCAACGAGAGTGAAATTCTTGAGTATAAATCTCTTTTAATTCGACACCCGGAGAAAAATCAAACGCCAGTGAAAGTTGAGGCACAAGTGCAAACAGCGGTCTTGACTGGATTCCCTCGTGTGAAAAAACTCGGTCTTGGGATAGAGGGAAATGAGCGGATTGCCATTCGTCCTAGTAGAGAAACCGCGGCGATAGTCAGGCAGATTTTTGTGTTACTCGAGTTAATTATTGTATACACGAATCGTCAGGTGCATTTCAACCTCATGATTTATTTATCACCCTTTATTTGGACGGAGAGAAATGTTCAGTAAAAATTACGGAACTCTCACTTCACTCACCGATTACGGAATCGACTCAGAAAATTTAAGTGACGACATCGTAATTTTTCACAAGAGATTCAGATAAAAATTACGGAACGCTCCGGAAAAATTCCGTGACAGTTCCGTAAAATTTTCTACAACCACATTTCGCTCCGGAATTACGGAAAAGATACGTAATTTTTATTGATTATTTTTCCAACCCAAATATCGGGCAATATAATTGGCCCATTCGTCATCACGTGGTACAAGCCACAGGGTTTTCAACTGATAATTTTTTGATAATTTTCTCCGGTAGTTGCTATATAAAAAACAAAACATCATGCAGTCGAATTAACCCCTCGTCAAACTGACAGATTGAATTCAATTGTGTCGTTGTGTTAATTATACAATTTTCGTTTCTCAATTGTGAGTTTCGTCTCATGGTCCAATTATATTGCCCGACATTTGGATTGGAAAAATAATCCCCCGAATACCACACGAGCTTCAAAATTAATCGGGCATTTTCCTCAAGCTTCCCTGCATGTAAACAAAGTCGTCAAGTTTTTCAGGAAAAATCACTCGTACTTCGCACTCGTGATTTTTTAACCTGAAAAACTCGACTCTTTCGTTTGTTTGCAACGAATCTATCGGAAAATACCCGATAATTTTGAAGCTCTTGTGGTATTACAAGTGAATATTTCTCTCCGTGTGCGTGGGGAATTGACGGCGAATTGTGTTTCCTGTTCGAAGTGATTTTTTGCACTCGAGTTGATTTCCGAACATTCTCCCCAATGCATAATCAATTTATGAATAAGTGCATAAATACATGGCGAATGACTTTCCAGGGATTTCACAAACAGCAAAACTTTGAATACTTAGACACTTGCTGAGAAAAATGAATAGTCAACGAGTATAGTATTTACCATCGAATGAAATTTTTTCGTGGGAATCGGTGAATACAATGTTGAAGACATTCAATTGGTGCACTAGACCATTAATGTTTAATTAACGTAAAGCGGAAATTATTGGTGTCACACGGCTGCCTTTAAATCACCTGATTATTAATGACCAAGTGAAATTGCACGACACGCGCTGCATACTGAAACTAGTTAAACTGTTGCACGAGGACGTTTCATTCTCTCTCGCATCGAGCCACTGAGTGGATGAAAATATTATTGAAGAGGTAAAACTTGAGATGTAAAATCTAACGGGTCATAATTGACATTCTTACGAACTTTCATGGAGATGGAGAGATGAAAGCTCATGCAATCACAATGTAAGAAAACCACGGATTCTCCAGCCTCGGTGCGTGTCATTAGCTCGAATGATAGAGAGAGAGAGGGAAGAAATAAAAACGATAATTGTCGGGGAATTTTCGCTTCGCGATGGTGAAGTGCAAATGCCTCAAGGCTTCCACGATAAGGAATAAGGAATGGTCAAGTCATATTTACTAATCATTGGGGACAGTCGTGCTGAGGATAGTTGAACGTATTTTCTTTCCATTATTTATGTTTATTCTGGTATTTTTTTTACCGCCAATTGTTTTGCTGTCTTATCATCATTAATCTATGCATTTTTATGGGCCTGAGAGGATGACAGAGAGGATGATTTTCTTTTTCATTTGTTTGATTATAGGTGATGGCGGGCCTTATTAATTCTACGTCGACCTTCTTAGGTAGCGCATATGACTACTACCTCTGGACGCTGTCACTGGCAGGTAAATAAGTTGGTATTTAGTCGTGCAAATGATAATGATGAGAATTCTTGTTTTCTGGGGGATGGAATGTTTCATTTTATTTCTCTGAAGAGGAATAAAAAATGCTTTTATTTATCCCTTCATTTCCAATATTTACATATTGAAAATATTTAATTTTATTGGAAATATTATTATTATTACTCATTATTATTATTTATTTAGAAAAGATAGAGAAGATAGCTAGATTAGTTTATACTGTATCATTTTATTATATTTTTTTCGCCTTTTCCGACTTCAGGATTAGATTAAGTTAATTCGATTCATTCTTATATATTCTTGATATATATATTTTTGGCAACTGTAAAACTGCATTTTTATGACACTGCCGATGAATAACCCATTCAAATATATTTTTGAGTAATGAAAGAATACACATCAATTCGATTACTAGCCTTGTCTTTTGATAGAATGATGAATGTAATGAATGGCATTGAGTGGCAAAAATTAGGGATTGGAGACTGAAATTTTTTTAAAACGGATAATCGGATAGAAAATGGGAAAATTTGTTTTTCTTCATCTGTGTCAGTGGAAACTTTGAATTACTAGTTTTTCTTCAAATATGGGAAGCATATGAATATTGTCAGGTTTTATAATCTCATTTTAACGAGAAGAAATGAAAAATTGCAAAATAACGTGGGCGCACAGCAAAAACGAATGCCTGAATTTCACACACCTTTTGTAGACATTTTTCAGACACTAAAAAACGTCTGAATAAAATGAAAATGTCTGAATTTCAGATGAAAGAAATGAAAAATTTATTTTTTCAATGTCTCCGGAAACTTTTAAAATCGATATCGATGGGTATTTTTTCGCATTACGAAAGAATACCCATGAATTCGATTTCTGTCCTTGTCTTTCTATAGAATAAATAGAATAAACTAAGAATGTTATGCGATTATTATTATGTAATAATAATTGGAAATATTTAATTTTATTCCTCTTGAAGAGGAATAAAAAATGCTTTTATCCATTCCTTCATTTTCCTAACAACAATTTTATTTTTTTTATGAAGACGACAGAACAAGAGGATGGTTACTGGTAGATTCCCCAACTCCAACCCTGCTCTACACGATGGTTTATCTATTCATAGTGTGGGCAGGGCCAAAAATCATGAGAAACAGAAAAGCATTCAAACTGACGTGGCTCCTGGTACCATACAATTTCGCCATGGCGGTCCTCAACGGGTACATCGCAGTCCAGGTACTAATTACAAGTTACATCCCGGCATAATGAACTGAAATACTCAGTGCTAATTTTTCTTTTCAGTTGTTTATAGCATCGACTAAATTGAGGTACAGCTACGTGTGCCAGCCGATAAGGAATACGTGGAGGGCCGAGGAGCTTCAGGTATTGTTTTCTATGATATTCTATAAATTTTTTATTTGTATTTTTTTATTATTTTTTAATAATTCTTATAAATCGTTTTTATTTAAGAATTTTTATAAATCAATATCTGTGTGATTTTTGTGATGCAAAAATTGTTAAAATTAATTCGCGCATTGGCGCAAAAAACAGAATAGAATTCTTATAGAATTCCAATTAATATCGAAAACCCCCTAGGGGGGGTTTATATTTACAAATCATTTTAATGTATTTATAGTCAATTGCATCTGCAAATTTTGTTTTGATGTAATCTGTAATCTTTTAATTTGTTCCTTGAAGATTGCCAATGCCGTCTGGTGGTACTACTTCAGCAAACTCCTAGAGTTCTGCGACACCTTCTTCTTCATATTGAGAAAGAAGGACAATCAACTGAGCTTCCTCCACGTGTACCACCACTCCACAATGTTTTCATTGTGGTGGATTGGAATAAAATGGGTTCCGAGTGGCTCAAGTAAGTAATAAATAAAACGTTTAACTCGATGATTCGTCGTGTGCTGAACGTTTTACCGATAAGCCCCCATTATCTAACCCGTGCGGTTGTTGGGTCTGGAAATATTGGCAACGGTAGATAAATTACGCTAACGTCATATCGGAGAAATTACCGGGGATAATGTGTTTTTGTTTTCTTTTCCTCGTTTTAGCGTTCTTGCCGGCCATGGTCAACAGCTTTATCCACGTGCTCATGTACTCGTATTATGGTCTCGCTGCGTTTGGCCCATCGGTCGCCAAGTACCTCTGGTGGAAGAAGTACTTGACTATTCTTCAGCTCATTCAATTCACAAGTGCTTTGATTCTTGGCGTCAATGGAATCAAGAATGGATGCGACTTTCCACTTTGGATGCAGTATGCTCTCGTCATTTACATGGTCTCTTTCATTGTGCTGTTTGGCAATTTCTATGCCAAGGCCTATATTGCCAAGGTATAATTGCATTTATTGAATCTCTGTTTTTTTACCTGATCATCAGTTTTTTTATCAATATCTTCTTGAGTCCGAAAGTTCTGGGGGGCTTAAGGTACACAGATTTTTCTAGTTTCTTTAGATCTGGAGATTTTCATCGAGAACTGATTGCTTCAATTTGAAATCTCATTTTTCGTGCAATTTTTCATTACGGATGTCCGAGTACTTTTGCTATTTTTTCTCCAGGAATATGCGTTTATACTTCTACACTTTTCTACGTCCGCTGTTTATCTGCGCGTTTTTTTATCGAAATGTTCAAGGGACAATATTTTGGGGAAAAATCAATACACATTCATTCCCTTCTTTTATACAACTTATTCTGTTGAAATATTTTCGGCTCAAATTTTCCAAGTGATTTTGTCTGATTCAAATCATTAATTGATGAAATAATTAATAAATTGTAATTTTGAAAACTACGAGCATTTTTTATAAATTTATAAATTTATAGAAAAATTTATAAATTTATGAAATTTATGAACAATCAATTTTCCCCCATAAAAATCATTTGTTCGGAATCACAAGAAATTTATTCGAATTCAGAATTTTACCAGAAATGTCGCTCTCCCCCAAAACTTCAGAGCCATCATTTTAAAAATTCACATTCCCCTGAATAATGTCTATTCTTTTTCCATTTTCCCAGGGTAAGCAGGTGTACGCGAACCGACAAAGTGCAGCGCTGAAGAAAAAAAAATTGGCTGACGAGCAGGCAACGACAAGCAAAGTGAATGGACGACACAACGGTGTATCCAATGGCGTTACTTCGAAGAAGATCCAGTGAAGAAATAACGTAGTCATTCTACCCATTTTATTCATTTGTCATCAAAAAAGCCTCAAACGAGTCAAGTGACTGAGGTAGCCCGTGGAGACGACACTTTTTCTTTATGCTTATTTCCTTTATTTTTTGTCTCCGTTGTCTGTTGGCCACGAGGGCCCACCGCGCAAGTCATCCTCGTTCCCAATGAGTCTACATTCGAGCCCAGCTCCAATCATTTCTGTTTTCCTTATTTCCTTGTTTTTTCTCTTTCTCTTCGGTTCAGTTTTCTGTCACCCTGAAGTGAGAAATAGAATAATAGGTTGCAACAATTTGTGTATATATTATGTAGGTAGAGTATCTGGGGGGGGGAGGGGGTAGGTCGATGAGGGAAAATTAGACAAACGTGGAGTCAATTATTTCTTGCTTCATGGTGATATTTTTCTTGTTTTTATGGAATAAAGAATAAAAGAAATGATTAATTTAAGCATCGCTCGGTGTGAGCGAGTTAGGGGGTGGTTGAAGAATAATTTATTGTCTTAAATTAATGCTGATTTGCGCAGAAAAAATGATACAACACAGTGAAATCGAATCCACTCGAGAACGTGGCGAGAGTCGAGTCTGTATTTATTGAAAAAGACGAATACCTCGTAATTCTTTTTTCATATCTACTCCAAAATCAGGTGTTAAGGCGTTTGAGGACAATGTGTGCTTCTCATGTCTCACTGCCATAGTCGAATTTGCAGAAATCCGTGAATCAGAATAGTTGAAAGAAAATATTTTGAGGAATATTTAGGATAAAATGCCACCAATGTCTACGTGATTCATTAGCAAATGCTGAATTGACTCATCAGAGCTCCAGTCTTACCCGATTTTTCTACGAAACAAATTAATTGAATAATGGAGAATAAAGAATTCACGAAACGTGTACAAATACCAGGGACTACAATATAAGATTTTGCAATGTTCGATCGTGTATTGAGTCGCAGTAGAAAAGGACAATGTGGATGGAATTCCAGTAATCTGCCATTGATGGGCACAAGTAATACAACTAGATCGTACAAATTAGTTTCTTGTCATGTTTTTGTTTCATTCAGGTAGTCATAAAAATGAATTGTTCATTAGTTTTGAAAATAATCTCGGTCAATTAACAGAAGAAAAATGAAACATTTCGATTGAATTACTGTCTTGTGTGCATTACCACATATATATTTTTCCAAACTGAAAATGCAATCTTAGGCAATAAAATATTGTTATGTTTATCATTGCAGTTGTCAAATGTACATAATTGTTGAATAATTTTTTGTGTCAGTCTCACTTTCTGAATATTACGACTGGCTGCTTTAGATCCACCAGATCCGGGATCTTCTATCTTCTCTTCTTCTTCTTCGGGGATTCTATTTCTTCGGTTTGAACGGGCAACGCTGAATTGACTCCTCAGGAGCCCCATCTTACCCGATTTTTCTACGGAACAAATTAATTGAATAATGGAGAATAAAGAATTCACGAAACGTGAACAAATACCAGAGACTACAATATAAGATTTTCCAATGTTCGATCGTGTATTGAGTCGCAGTAGAAAAGGACAATGTGGATGGAATTCCAGTAATCTGCCATTGATGGGCACAAGTAATACAACTAGATCGTACAAATTAGTTTCTTGTCATGTTTTTGTTTCATTCAGGTAGTCATAAAAATGAATTGTTCATTAGTTTTGAAAATAATCTCGGTCAATTAACAGAAGAAAAATGAAACATTTCGATTGAATTACTGTCTTGTGTGCATTACCACATATATATTTTTCCAAACTGAAAATGCAATCTTAGGCAATAAAATATTGTTATGTTTATCATTGCAGTTGTCAAATGTACATAATTGTTGAATAATTTTTTGTGTCAGTCTCACTTTCTGAATATTACGACTGGCTGCTTTAGATCCACCAGATCCGGGATCTTCTATCTTCTCTTCTTCTTCTTCGGGGATTCTATTTCTTCGGTTTGAACGTCCAACGCTGAATTGACTCCTCAGGAGCCCCATCTTACCCGATTTTTCTACGGAACAAATTAATTGAATAATGGAGAATAAAGAATTCACTAAACGTGAACAAATACCAGGGACTACAATATAAGATTTTCCAATGTTCGATCGTGTATTGAGTCGCAGTAGAAAAGGACAATGTGGATGGAATTCTAGTAATCTGCCATTGATGGGCACAAGTAATACAACTAGATCGTACAAATTAGTTTCTTGTCATGTTTGCTTTCATCCAGGTAGTCATAAAAATGAATTGTTCATTAGTTCTGAAAATAATCTCGGTCAATTAACAGAAGAAAAATGAATCATTTCGATTGAATTACTGTCTTGTGTGCATTACCACATATATATTTTTCCAAACTGAAAATGCAATCTTAGGCAATAAAATATTGTTATGTTTATCATTGCAGTTGTCGACTGTACGTAATTGTTGAATAATTTTCTTGTCATCAGTCTCGGTTTCTCAATATTACGACAGCCAACCAAAGTGACGAAGTTTTGCCGACATAACGCTGCAAGTGGCAAACTAGAGCGAATTCCACCGGTCCAGTGACCTCCTGGATACGTGTGGAGGCGAATAATTCTAATAATTCGTCCATCGGAGACCAGCGGAGGTTCAGCACGAAGCCGTGAAGGTGATAGGCGCGATACAGCTGTCTCAGGTCCTTTTTTTCGAGCTGTCCATCGCCGCGGCTGGATAATTTCATCAGGAATCCTCGGAGGAGAGATATTGCGTGGCGGTTGAAGACCGTTGTGAGGCCCATTCCACTCCGCCACTGCGATAGTCTATCTTTCAAGTGGGCCTCTATCTCCAGGTGCGCATCTTTATCCTCGTCGGCGTCTCTCATTGCACCTTCTGTCTCGAGGATTTGCGGCTCGTGCAGTGCCGCTGTGGAAGAGCTGCCACACGGCTGCCAGTCTTTTGGGGTTTTCGGGTTGAATTTCACGTTTGATATGCTTGTGGTTTTCTGGAGGTTTTTCCAGACCTGAAAACCATGCGCGCGAAGCAAACGTCATTTTCGCAGTTTAGTTTCGGAAAGGATTTTCACAAAATTGTTTCAACATCGATATTACATAGTTTTGGCCGAAATTTGTGGGACACTTCTTTGAAATTTTTATAAATTAACTGTTTCAATGGAATTTTTAGGAATTTCGGCGTTGAACACCCACAGTTTGAGGGAAAAATCAATGAAAATTGCGAATTTCAGGCCAATTATTCCATAGAAATTAATGGAAAAGGTAAAAATTCAGGTAAATTAATTTTTCAACTTTCAAGTAATCGAAAAGTCGATGTTATTCGTCACTGAAGATTCAGTTTTCGTTGAAAATTCATGTAAGTTGGAAAGAATGTCACGAAATATTTTAAACGTCGATGTTACGTAGTTTTGGCTGAAATTTTAAGGAATTTCGTGATTTTACATCCACAATTTGATGGAAACATCAATAAATACTGCCAATTTCAGTTCAATTATTCCATAAAAATTAATAGAAAGCATAACAATCCGGGTAAATATAATTTTCATCTTCCAATTGATCGAAAATTCAATGTTATTTGTCACTGAATATTCATTTTTTGTTGATAATTCAAGTAAGTTGGCAAATTTTCGTCTTCATGCTGCTCAAAAATTTGGAATCTCATGATTGTCTCCCTATCAATTGAATTTCAATAGTTTTTTCATGCTCTATAATAATGACAATATAAGATCTGCACGAATCAATATTATATTTATATCGATTTTGTGCTAAAACTCTGCGCCGTGTACCATCTATAAGGCAAATTTTCAGAAAAACATGGGAACTTTGAGCTTCAATATATAATTACGGGTAACACTGAACACAAAAAATCTCACGGAACTTCTTCAAGTTACCAATCTACATCAGTCTTGATTTTTTTCAGATCTTTCCGAGATCTGTCAAATTTATCGTTATTCCGATTTATACGGGTGCGGCGCGGCGCTTACGGACGCTTGCGGATGTTAATGCACGGAGAGAAATGTTCAGTAAAAATTACAGAACTCAATTCGCTCACCGATTACGTAATCGACTCCGAAAATTTAAGTGACGGTATCGTAATTTTTCACAGGAGATTCAGTTAAAAATTACGGAACACTCTGGAAAAATTCCCTGAGAGTTCCGTAAAATTTCCTACAACCACATTTTGCTCCGGAATTACGGAAAAATTACCAGAAAAAAGACGTAAAAATTACGTTTCAAACCGTAATCTGGGAGCGAAGTAAAATTCAATAAAAAGTGTCAATCGTCACGTAAATTCTACGATCTGTTCCGTAAAAATTACTCATCCGTCCGACGCCTCACGACTAGCCATGAGTCTCCGTGAGGGGGGGATTTTAACAACACGTTCCGTAATTTTTCCGGAACTTTTCGTAAAAATTCTTAAACATCCAAGAATTTTCATGTTCTGAGGCATAACAAGTCTTGAAGTTTCTGTTAGATTTTACAACTTCCAGAAAAATTACGTGACATTTTCTTATTTTTTCGGTGACAGACACGAAAATTTACTGAACGTTTCAGATTTATTCTCATATATTCCTATAGAAATTCACTGAAAACGATTCTCGCTTGCGCATTACGTGAAATGTTCCGTAATTTTTATTGAATATTTCTCTCCGTGTGTGTAAAAAATAATGATACTTCACCCGAAAATCATGTGAACTTACATTCTGATGATTAATCAGTCTCAAAGCCTTGATAATCGAGCACCTAGAGTCCCCAAAATTATACTGATCGCCGTTCTCAGGATCCCACAGGACATTCTCCCGTTTTTCATTAATCGAAACGACAAAAGCCGCCCAGTTTCTCGCCTGAGAGCTGGCGATCAAAACGTAAACCTCGAGCCCCAAGCCCCGAAGGAGAGTGGCTAACAACGCGGCCCGTCCAAAGTGATCGATCTTATTGAGTTTCAAGGCTTGTCTGGGTGTCAGTGGCCCGTACTGCGAGGGCAACGGAGTCAGCAGCATCGCGAGTCTCGCGGCATCTTCGGGGGTCTCGGTCCCCGGAATTTTGTAGGGGATCACTAGACACCGTTGAAGGGCTCTCGATAAATTGTCCAGGGAGCTCATCTCCGAGGTCTCTCCACTCGTATGTCTCTCCATCCTCATCAGAATGTAGATCCTAGTGTACGAGCGGACTGGACTCGCCTGGACGTACCCCAGGCGGACGACTGGACTGCTCAGGGCCGACAAACCGATCCACTTCTCGACTTCCTGGTAATTCCTGGGGGACTCCAGGGGAATGAGGGCTTCCCCAAGCCACTGGAGGCCCCACACGGGGTGCTGGTCGTAAAGAGACAATTTTATGCTGGAATTCCGCCCTCTTGACGGTATCCCGAAGTGCATCGTCTGCTGCCAGACCGGGGCTGCTCCCTCGGAGGCCGACGTCGTCTGTCTCAACTCGCCCCATTGGATCTGCACGATTGGCTGCACTAGGGCTGACTCTTCACGAACAGGCACCTGGAAAATCATTTTCGGAATACCCGAGGCCATTCTATTGAAGATTTCCCCAAATTTGAGGCAATTTTTTTAGTGGGTAATGGCCGATAGAAAATATTTTATTGGGAAAATCAGCAGAACTTCATCTTTCTATACAACTTTTTGTTTTGAAACATTTTCTATAGGAATTCCTTGACAAGAATTTTCTGAATTTTTTACAATCTATTTTTTTTTTATTTAAAAAAATTAAACACTTTAGAAAGTTGAACCGGAGATCTCTCTTTTGAGACATTTTCGATAGAAATTCCTTGACATAAATTTTCGGAATTTTTTCTGCTCCATTTTTTTTATTTTTCATTTAAAGAAAATTTAAACACTTTAAAAAGTTGAACCGGAGAATTTTCTTTTGATACATTTTCTATAGCAATTTCTTGACATGAATTTCCTGAATTTTTTTCACTCTATTTTTCTGTTTTTTATTTTTAAAAAAAAACATTAAACACTTTTAAAAGTTGAACCGAGAAATTTTCTTTTGAGATATTTTTTGTAGAAATTCCTTGACATGAACGTTCGAAATTTTTTCCAATCTATTTTTCTTTGTTTTTCATTTTTTTTTTAATTTAAAAACTTCGAAAAGTCAAGCCGAGGAATTTTTATAGACAATATCTGAATAAAATAAGTTGTGTAGAAAAATTGAATTCTATTGATGCTTTCTGTAAAACATTTTCCATCGAAAATTTCTATTGCAAAAAAACCTCAGTTTTGACTAATTACCGAGATTTATACGATATTAAATTGAACATCGCATTAATTAATCTGTCTCCATTAAAATAAAAATCCTCGATTACTCTACACACCTCCACGCCCCTTAACACAGTTATCGTGAGGACCTCGTCCCTTCCCCCCCGGAATTTCGGGCCTGACGTGCCTGACGAGGGCCTGAGGGGTCTCCTGGCCTGCAGCCAGTTCCCGAAGGAAATATCCCAGAGGGACATGAACGAGAACACCGGCTGCTCCAGGATCACCAGGTCCGGGAGCTTCTCTCTCTCCTTCTTCTTCGGTTTCAGTGACTCTATTTCCTCAGTCTGGAGGGTCAGCGCCGGCTCCTCCAGGGTGAAGTACCCCACGTGCTTTTTCCGGACGTTTCTCCGAGCTTTCCGGAGAGAGAGACAGTTCTGTGGGTCGTTCGGGTCATTCGTGGGTTTGTAAGAGAGTATCTGTGGTTCCGAGGGCTCAGGGCTCCCCTGGGTTGACAGAGACATCGTGTACATCACCGTTCCGGAGTGCGAGACGCCCGAATGATCGGTGATCGAGAAATCAATCTCCAATTTTTTATCTCTGACGCATCGCGTCGGCAGGGGAAAGGGTAAATCACTGCAGCAGCCGTCGCGGGACTGCACTCGCAGCGATAAATTGCTGGACTCTGAGGAGTTATTCACCAGTAATTTGTACAACTTACGATTGAAGGGACTCACTATTTTACATATCACTTTATCCTGGAATAGAACTGATACCGAATTTATTTCCAAGGGTTTTAATTGAGATGCCGAGGTGATCGTCACCTCGCGGATGCCGATCTCCAGGAGTTTCTGGGGGATCTGGGGGACCCTCTGGGTGTCCATGGCTCGTTGGTGACCCAGTTGGTAGGGCTTCACTGCACTGTGGGTTAACGGACCCGTTGGTGACACGTAGAGGCCATCCTCTGAGGGTTTGTCATCCTCGGGGGATGGTCGAGACTTGGCGCGGACTTTCTGGATTACTGACTCGTCGGCCGGCGTTTCGAGTCTCGGATGCGCGTAACACAGGGTCAGTTTCTTGGGTTTCTTCCTGTGGAGGCGCGGGGAGGGACCCGCGATGAAATCTATGTGCCTTGACATTAGGTGGAAATTGGACGGGGCGAGAGATGAATGTAAACGAGAATGTAAACGGGGGTTGAGAAACTGGGGATAATGGGAGTGAATGGGGGTGGGACTAGCCCACGCGGGATGTATTTGTTGTCGACGACGGGACTATGGCAACGGGGCAGGTGGTGCTAACTGTGGAGTTCATAAATTCCCTCGTATTTATCCATTCGAGTTTTGAAAATTCACAATTTCAGGGGAAAATCAATGAAAACTGTGAATTTCAGGGCAATCATTTCTTCCCTGGTAAAACAGTCCGATTATTTCCGACCGCATGATAAAAAATGAATCGGCGTTAATGATGTTTCTGTCTTTGCGCATTAAATTTCGATTGGCTGGTAGGTAGAGTTTGGAGTTTGAGAAAATTATGAGAATTAATAGGATCAAGGGTATGTGGCCGTTATTGTCCGATTACTTTCCAAAAAAGTGGTGGATAGATCTCATATTACGCATATAAATATTTAAATAAATATTAAATATTTATATGCTCTGATATTTAAATAAATATTAAATATTTATTTAAATATCAGAGCGGGCAGGTTTTTTTAATATCTCGGAATTTATCGGGCAATTCATTTTTTATCACCCAGTCGGAAATAATCGGATTGTTTTACCAGGGTTGAAGATTGATGAAAAGTAGGGAACATCGGGTGATTATACTTTTGGAGTTTTTGTTGATTTAACAGTCGATGTAATTTGAGGAAGTATTGTCCTTTTGTCGCACAAAAATTTGGAATTTCAGGAGATTTCAAGTGAAATTTCATGATTTTTTTCCTCCTAAATCGAATTCCGAGGTCTTGAACAATATCTTCTTTTGATACCCTCAGTGATCCAGTTATGGAACGTGCACCGGTTATGGAATCAGCGTTACCTTTACCCGAAAATCCATGTGACTATATATTCACTGTGATGAACGAAGTTTAATGAAAACTATGAACTGCACACTTTCTCTGAAGCCAAGAATATCTATCTATTCATCAATACGTCTAAGCTATTGAAAACAATACGGTTCCATAACTGAGCCTCGTTTCTTAAGGGGTCAACGACCGTGATTGATGACTCAAAAAATGTGCATTTTATGAAAAAAAAAACGCAGAAGCACTTTGTTATCAGAAAAGCATGGTTTGCTATCAACAAAATAACAGCAGAAAGTGATTTTGTATTAATTTGTTCATGAACAACTCCATTTGTTTAAAACAACAGACATTTTAACACTCTGATAAAATTCTGAAAAACCATACGATGCAACCCCACCCCAGAAAAAAATAATTATCTCCGTTTCCATAAACTTTGCAGATCTTTATTTATTCATACAAATAAACATTCAATCGGTAGTAATAAGTTCACTTGTCTAGATCAACAATTGAGCTCTCCTCAATAAGTAAGAAAGGAACCTTAGACCTACATAATATTTATGTATAATAAATTTATTAAGCCCTCTACAGTCTCGACCACAGACCGTAGTACGCCAAAATTATCACCAAGTATTGCTTTCAAAAATGCATTATTTCCTCTACATATCGCTGTAGTCAAAATAATCTCAATAAACAAATAAAAATGCGTAAAAAATAAAACAATGAAACGTATTAGATATTAACTGCTGACTTATTCTCACATATAAAGGATCAAGAGCCAACGATGCGTACAACAAAAAAAAAATGGGGGAGAAAAAAAATGTGCGAGCAAGATTGCATAATAAATGCCGTTATGTTTTCTCTCATTTAATCTCATTTAACTCTAGTATTAATTCGATATACTCTGTTCATTTGGTATTTCAGCCTTGCTCTCCTTTCTACCGAATACAATCGAGTAATCGCAGGGGAATAAATGATTGGGAATTATGTATAAACAATATTCGACATTTTCTCACAGAGAATAAGCATTGATTCTTACTTTGAATTGATAGTGTCTAGGTGATAGAGTCTAGGGTATTAGAAATGATCGAGTTTAACGAGTATATGATCCGACGTGGGCTCTGGCAGTTTGACGTCCAGCCAATCGCTGCTGGACGTTGCATCAACGTCTATAGCTTTTAGGGCTAGTTTGTGAGCTGGTGTTGCATTGTGGGGGATCCTTAGGTCAACTGGAACCTTGAACTCGAGTCCTCGTGGTCCACACTCCACTACGGGACTTAATAAAGATTCACCTGCAACACAAATTCAATTTTTTTCAATTGATAAACAGAATCGGGATGGGGAGAGCAGTTGAGTTATTTCGTTCGAAAAAGATAAATGATGACAGCAATCAGGAATGTACATACACTATTCGAATTATTATTATTATTATTATTATTTATTATTCTAATTAAAACACAAAAAATTAATACGTAGAAAATTAATTACGTGTTTTAATATTTTATTAATAATTAAATATTAAAACACGTAAATATTATAAATATTTATTATTATTCATTATTCTAATTATTTTAATAATTAGAATAATAAATAATAATAATAAAAATAATTCTAATAGTATTAGATGGAATTCATCTTTATTTTAGGCTAAAATTTTTAGAAACTTGAAACAAAAATGTAGAAAAATATCTACAAAAATTATGCACAATGTCATCATTTTGTTTTTTTTTTCACAAATGAAAGCCCACAAATGAATGGAGATGTGAATGAGTTCGACCACAAGCGTGATTTATCATTATTAATTAGCAAGCTCACCCTGGTGCATTGGCGGTGAGATAGATGTGCGACGATGATCGTTGTTATGTGATTCAATAGCATGCGGAGTTGTGACCGCGAAGTAGATCTCTTGTCGTGTATTTGGGGCTAGTGCACCCGGGGGTATTGTTAAACTGACCCCACCCGGTCCCTCGAGGACACCACCCTCGCTATCGAACAACCCACGTGCCACCCCAGTGCTCCTAGACCAACCGCCACCCGTTAATTTATTTATTATTTTTGGGGGAGTGTGAACGAGAGTAAATTTAACTCAGACACATTTCTTTTAATTTTTTTTTCAAGTCAAGGCGAAAGCAGAGCCATATAAAGGTCCTCATTAAATTCTTCTCGATCTCCCGAAGTGGTGATATGAAATCAGTCAATTCTACTCAGAATTCAGTTTCTTTTCTTATAAGGCCTTCTTTTGCAGATTTATTATTCTCTCGTTATTTATTTTCACTCATTATCTTTTACGAGGATGTGGACAGTTGAGTATGAAAACTAGACGAGTCAATTTCTCTCAGACAAAAAACGAATCTAAAATTCAATTGAAATGATGGAATTAACCCACACTGAGAGAAAAACGACAAAGTTCTTAAACAAGTCTTACTTGTGCCCAGTGTTGCCAGATCGTGACGTCACCCCATTTAAAATTGTACAGGTTTTGGCTATAAATCGCCAAAATCTGGCAACCCTGCAGTTGTGCCTAGAAAATGGTTTTTTGAAAATTATCAAAAAAGGATTTTTTAGTGCCAAACATGCAGAGAGTGCGCCGGAATGAAAAACTTTTGTCGCAAAAATAGATTTAGTAGTTGAAAAAAAATTGCATTCTCTGTACACGCAAGAAATGTCATTTCTAGCACTACTCCTTCGTTATTCGATACTCCCATACGTATTTTGCTCCCGAAAAATTTTTGTTTTATGCGAAACAAGGGATAGTAGTTTTTCGTTTCGGTTGTCTAATAATCACAGACAAGAAATGAACCCTTAAATGAAACAATAATAATGATATAATAGCGATCTTGTAAATTAGGGATAAAATATTTGTTGATAAATTTCCCTCTATATGAGATATTTTCATCCTGAAAAGGCACCGTCTGGTGTGAATTATCCGCCTCTTGAGCCAAATATTTCGTTGCTGTCGAAAGCAGAACAATTATTCATGTTTGAGACTTTCAAATTCGAACCAAACAAACTCTTTTTTGGCAATTTTCAACTAGCGATTTTGTTTGACAACGTGTTTGGTTTTCTCTCAGTGCAGTCGATTCTATTCGAAATTCAGTTCTTGCTAAACATACACAAAATGAAGGAAGTAGTGAAAAATCTCAAGAAGAGAAGTTCTTTATAAAAATCTTTCCATCGCTCTTGAATCCGAGCAATATTCATGAGGACGTGGGGCCGAAGTTAATGTGAGTGAAATTGTTTATTCTCTCAGTGCTACACGATTGTCTATTCTATTCAAATATCCTTGAGGATTTTATCGAGTTCACCATTCATCGATTTTATCATTCATTCAAAACAGTAAAAAAATAATGAAGACTAGGCTACGAAGTTAGTACGACCTTGAATAATTGTTATTAATCAAGAAAGTATGTTAATGACGGGAAAATTTATAATTTATTCAAGTGAGTTCTCACGCTGTTGATTTACCTGACATTGTGATGATGCAGCGGTGGTTTTCGGTACAATTCGAAAGCACTCCCTCGTTGCTCGCGACTCCCAGCCAGATCCAATCCACTGGCCTCGCGATTGTGCCCGGAATTCCCTCCCGAGGGATGAACTGTACCCACGTGACTGTTGCTGTGGCTGTGCCCATTGACATTCGCTGTGTTGCGATTATGCGTGTGCCCCAGTGTGAGCTGACCCACGCTGTTGCTGTGAGAGTGGGCGGTTATCGGTGGATTGGAATGTGGATGAGTGTGACTGAGGGAATGACTGTGATTTGGTGGCGTGTGATTGTGGGTGTGATTGGAATTCATCAGGTAATTTCCATCGTTGCGGTTCGGTGGAGGGATGTTGTAGTAGTACTGTCCACTATTGCGCTGCATGTTTCCACCGTTTTCAGTCTGAATAGGGAGATATTTTCTGATGAGGATTTTTTTTAACAATAGGGGAGGGTAGGGTAAAATGGACACTTTTGACTCTTTTAAAAATATTCATAACTCAGAAACAGATTTATCAATTGAGCTCAGTCTGAGCTCATCACAAAGAGGAATCATTGTTTTTCAATTAAAAAATAAAAATCATTTCATTTCATGAACAATTCAACACGCCATGAATATTTTAAAAAAAGTCAAGTGTCCGTACCCTACCCTCCCCTACACTCCAGGAAATGAATATTCGCAGGCGAAGATGGATTGGAATATTAGAATTTTTTGAAATTCGAGGAACAGCTGCTTCCGTTTAGGATGACATTATTCATCAAATTTGTCATTAATTTTGGAAATTCATCCAATTTGCGTACTTCATTTTATGCGGTATTGCAATTTCGATGACATTTTGAATTAAGCATCACATTTCGTGAGTGTGAAAATACAGAATGCAAATTGCAGGAATAATTTCCTAAAAGTGTACTTTTTTAAATTAAGGATATCCAAGTATTTTTTACAGTTCGGTATTCAACCATTTTCAATCATCAAATTTGTCAATTAAATTGCGTGAGAAAAATTTGAAAAAAAATCATCAATATTCAGCGTCATTCAAATTACATTTTGCAAAAAAATTATTATTTTTGAAAACATTCTTTGTTTATAAATAAATAATTATAATTTATTTATTGATTCATTTATTTATTAGACTCCGAAGACATGATTTTCATTGTGGGAAATTGATTGTTTATAAATTATTTATAGCAAAAACTGGTATTTGTATATTAAAAAAGTTTCTATTTTTTAATTATTTTATGAATCTCCCTCCGAAAGGAAAATTTCTCATATTTTTATATTTTCAAAATGTTTTCTAACGATTCAATATCAAGATGCAAATTCAGGCCTGCAAAATTAAAAAAATAAAATCATTGTCAAGTGTCCGGAAAAGTATTTCACTGGAGAAAAAATAGTGAAAGTACTTGGATATCCTTGCAGAATCCACCGAGTCTCGATATACGATGAATGCGGAGTCTCGTAATATTCGCGAAGCAAAATTATTTTTTAAAACACAAACTATGATTTAAAACAAAAAAATTCTTCTTCAATCAAGAATGTATCTTTTCAAATTAAAAAAGAAAATATTTTCAATCGAACAATATGAGAAGTTTGAGATATTTCATGCATTGTTTAAATGACAATATCAAATACATTTACCCCATTATGAAGATGTGAAGCATTCATGGAGTAACTCTTGGCATGTTGATACATGCTCCCCCCGTTGCTCTCATCCTGAACGATCGGCTGCTGTGGGGGACGATAGTTCTTGGGTTTCGGGGGTGGTACGGGCTTGTAAGTGCCCCCGGACGGTTTTCCCGGTGTCGTGGGTATCACTTTGTTATGCTCTCCCGTTCGGCTGGAATGCGAAAAGAAAATCTAGCACATGGTGGGAGCAGAGGAAATTGAACGGGGATTAATGATTGAATGATTGAATGATCTCTTTCTAGACTAATGTATCTCGACGGGATATGTAAATTCTATAAGCTCTTCGCATTGGTCGAGGTTTCCGCGCCACCGCTCTGATGCAATGTACAATCATTGGATTAATCTCGCATGTTGAGAATAACATCAGGAGTGAAGTGGTAAGTCTTAATATAATTAGACAAATCCGGTTTTTTTTTAATCATGTATTTATCTCGGAATGGAGTGGTTTTGAAATATCATTGGACTTTTTCACAGATCAGTACAGCCCCAAGAAAAAAAAATATCGACTTTTTCCTCTGATGCCTCGCATTACCGAGAGAATTCTATAATTAGTGGATGCACGAACAATTTGAAGATTTTTGTTGATTTTTGATTGATCTCATTCGTAATAATTGTAAAAAAAACCTCGTAAATATTTCTTGTACATCAATATATTTAAAAAAATATCTTGACATTCATATGCAATTTCCCTTATTAGTCTGTGTGCAAACAATGTTTTCGCATTTCGTAATTATTTGTACGGACTTTGAAACTGATTAATTATAATTTTGGATGAATGAGTGAAATTAATTTGACGTAAGAAATAAATATTTTGATTTATATCGTCAGATCGTTAGTTACAATGATAAATTATCCATTCACTATTTCCTCTTTATCGGACTTATTTTTTAATCTTCATTAAAAACGCTCTTCGAAAATCTTCAGTTTTTTTCTCCTTTTTATGATTGTACAATCATATTTTTTAGGAACTCCTGCGTTATGTAAAAACCAATGTAAATTGTGATATATTTTACATTATGAGGGAAAAATAATCGAGATAACGTTCGAAAGGTAATCCACCCGGGCCTTAAACCGTTTGAACTTCACTACTGAAATAGATAAGTAAATCAGTAGCAAAGTGGTAAAACGGTTTAACTCGACTCATCTTCCATTCAAGTTTTTGAGGAATATTTCCGAATCTAAGGGAGATAGCGAAATTTTCGTAATTACATTTGTTGTAGCACTCAATCGGCTCTACAAAAAAGGTTATAATAACAATTTCGCTATCTCCCTTAGATTCCGAGATATTCATTGAAAACTGATCAATAGTCTAAATTGACTTATACAGTTTTACCACTTCGCCACTGAAATGAATAAATCTTCACAAACCTGTACTTGGCGTAGTCAGTCCTAGTCTGCGAATCCTGGCTATTGATAGGTTGGGCAGTGGATCTGGTGAACCTGTAAGGGTCATGAGCCCTCTGTGTTCCCGGCATACTTCCGGTCTTGAGATCATCCGGGACATTGGGACCGAGTCTCCCAGAGGAAGTGTTGATCCCCGTTGCAGTGTACGTAGCATTCCCATTGGTGTTGTTATAGGAATCGTAAGAAGACATGCTGTCATAGCTTCCAGTTTTGGGTTGAGTCCTCTCGAGGGAGGACGTGGCGTTGGCTCGATGGGGAGTTGCGTTGATGTAGTTCCCCATGTCGAGGACGGAGTCGGTTTTGTTCAGCAATCTGTCAGCAGCCGATCGTCCAATTGTACCTCGTGGTGTCTGACTCGTGGGTTTGACGTTTCTGTCGACTCTTGGGGGGAGATCCGGAGGCCCTTGAGGGGGCGATCGAGTCTGGGGCTGCACTGGGTACTGCGGCAGTCCTGGCTGTTCGTTCATCGGGCTAGACATGGAGAAACCGTATTTGCTGTCCGTTGGCGCTCCCTGGGCTCGTTTGTGCTGCTCGAAAGCCTGGTTTATTCGGAATTGTGAGTTTTTTATTTACTCGGTCAATTGAACGGGTGCGGAACATGAGGAATGAACGCAATAGTCGCACAATTCATTTTTAAATATTGCGTATTCAGACAAAATATAATTAGCGACAGAAATAATATTCTACTTTTTTATAAAATTACCCCCAAAATTTCATGTAAAGATGAGAAAGTAGTTGATACTCGAGGAAATTGCAGCACCTTTTACACCTTTTGAAAATTCAGTTGAATGTCGTGTTTAATTTTTCACGATGAGTTTAAGAATAATCGGTGACATTTAAGTATTAAGATCAATAAGAAATTCCATAATGAATTTGATCTTGAATTGAATTCAAAATCAGAATATTGAAAATGATGAATATGTTGTTTTTAATGAACCACATGGGGCATCACATTTTTCTTTTTCCCCATCTGGGAAAAAGAAAAATGTGATGCTGAATTTCAATCGAACGAAAAAATAAAAGTGCAATCGGCCTAATGTAATCAATAGAATTGTAATCAATTGAAATATAAGACGAATAAAAAAATATTATTTTCATCAGTACTCGCAATAATAAAAAAAAGTTAATAAACAACAGTTAATAAAAAAAATGTTTCTTTTGTTTGAATTGCGTCAAATAGTCGTTTTTTCGGTTGTTTCATTTTGCCCCACCCACCCCTATTTTATTCTGCTGTCCTCATCAATTAACTCCTAATTATCAATTTCATATTATTTCAATAAAATCGATGATAATTCGAATCATCAGATATTTTACTCCCATCCATTGCTTTATTTCAAGTGCATGAAAATCGTTACATGCCTCAAGTGTTCCGTAACCAGCCAATTCACTCTCCCCTTATTGTCAGTAAGGATGCCATGATGATTTAGCGGATGAAATATTACCTGATAGCTTGATGTGTATGGTGGGGGTGCAGTGGTATCATCCTGAGTAGCGATACTTGGATCTGAGCTACTTTTAAGCCTCGCAGGTGGCCCCAGGGCACCGGGAATGGGGGGTGCTGGGCTTAATTCCAGATCACTCTCCGGGGAGGAGGCGTAGGAGAGGCGTGATGTCATCGGGAAGAGGAAGTCATCCGAGAGGGCCTCTTCCGGCTACGCGATATACGCAGAACACACAGGACACCACGTTACATGGACACGTTAATAATGTTTTGATGGATGTTTTTGGTACTGTTTTGTTTAGGGATGACACTTGATTTAATTTTTTAATTGTTTTAATATCATTCAACGAGAAAGCACAATAGCTAGACCACTCGACACACTAATCAACTGATGAAGTGATTCAATTAATTGTCATTATTATTCATTAGTCACTGGGTTAATAAAGCTAGTTGTGGCAGTGATGTTTTGGCATTACGAAATCTTAATTAATTCAACGGAATCCTAGTTATTCCACTGATATTGTCATGCATTCATGCTCGGCATTCGTACTAATGCACTAATTAAAATACAAAATTACATTAAAAATAATGATAATACACTGTTAAAATGTTTGGGTGAAATTTCAGAGAATTTTGTGCTTAAAAATTTACCGTTTGATGAATTATTCAATGAATATCATTCGAAAATTCAGATACATATATCTTGAATTTATCAAGTACTTTGGAATTTTCATGATTTTAATTCCCCCGAATCGAATCCCCCCAATTATCCCTGAAATTGCAATTTTTTTAACAGTGTAGCCATGAATACGATGGACCATTAAACCCCCTAGATGTAGCCGAAGAATTGCTCGTGAATGACATTCTGGGTGGGAATTGGGGAACGTATTGGTGACGAAGTAATGAGGGGCGATGGTGGACGGGGTGGTGGTAACACATTGATATTATTATTATGCTCGAGGTAGACAGCCGTGTCGGAGAGAGCTCGTGGGCTCGCTGGACGATAAGGATGATACGGTGGAAGGTAAAGATCCGACACCATTTCTATGGGCTACAAAAACAACCAACACCAAATATCTCATCGTCTCTTAATCACAAAAAAAAATTATCTGGACTAGAGAATAGTCCTGTCCCCGAACATTGATTGCACCAGTCGGCATTCAGGTGGGAGAACATTTCGGTTGTAATTCAGGCACAAGCGGAAATTAATAATTAACAGACATTCCAGGGGTTTATCGTAATTTTTCAGGCATATTTGTTTCGGTTTATCGTTCATTCTGGAGGTTTTTGGGATTAATCGCTTACCTTTGTCTGGCTCATCCACAGGGGGCCCTGTTGTTGACGGTCTATTAACTCTCTGAGCTTTCTGTACCACGCCTCAGGGGTAGTCAGAGTTATTACAGCGCTGAACACGTGGCCCCATATTTTGTCAAGCTTCTGACACTGCTCGAGAAGCTTCTTGCTGCTTTTGTGCGCCGACCTGAATTAATCGATTGATTAACCATGAGTTAACGCATGGGGTAATTAAGGACGAGTGGAATTACAAGAAAAAAATATTCTTAAGGCCCCCTCTTTTTTAATCTTGATAAGCTGCAGTGTTTTTCATTGCCATTCAGTTTTACACAGCCCTGGAGTCTTCGAAAATTATGATTATGATTGTACAATCAAAAAAATGTTGAAAAAAAAATGAACATTTTCAGAGAGCGTTTTTGGATAGTATTGGAAAATAAACCCAGTAGGGAGATAATTGCAAATTGATAATTTACAGTATCTAATAGCTGTTCAGTCGTCATTTCTATGTTCTATGTTTTTGAGGCCGTCCAATTCCCAGGTTTTACGGGCCATTATCGCCCCTAATCAGGACGTTTCGTTTATTAGGAGGTAGATAATGTCGAAAAAACTGGTGGTTATCCCTTTTAATTAGGATTTTTTCTTTAATAGTGGGAGTCGATTGTAAAGATTATAAAATTCGATATAGAAAGAAGAACTGGCCGTTATTCCTCTCCATTAGGATTTTTTCCTTAATAGTGGGAGTCGATCGTAAAGATTATAAAATTAGAAAGTCTCTTTTTGAGCTGTCACTCAATTGTTATTTGAAACTTTGAATTTGTATTTTTTAATTTTTTATCTCAGTCGTCACTTGACTCAGTAGCCAATGCCTGTCAGATCGTTTGTTGCCATGATAGATTATCCAGTTACAATTTTCTTTCTGTCGGATTTATTTCCAAATCTTTATTAAAAATTCTCTCTGAAAATGTTCAATTTTTTTCTACTTTGTTTGATTACGTAATCATAATTTTTAGGAACACCTCCATGATATGAAATGAAGATGGAAAAACAGTCGTGATAACGTTCGAAAGATGTTCCACCCGGGCCCTAAATTAAGAATATATAGCTTTCTTGAGTTGAAAGCAAGGAAATCAATATCAATAATATTTTGATTAAAAGCATTACTTCTCGAATTGGAAAAATTAATATTCCTATAATGAAATAAGAATGCGGTTGATGATGTTATGTCAACGAATCTTTCAACAATTTTAATAAGGCCGACCAACGTTCAAATGCCAATTGTTAAGAATTATTTGAATCATTGGTCCCCCCTTGCTATGAGTGTATCCCTGAAGCTTAAACAAACAAATAAATGAATAAAATAACGAAATACTCATACTTTGGTATCCCTGCCCTCATTTCCTTTACCACTTGCTTAGTTTCTGCCTTCAGAAATATGACTATTGGATAAAACTGAGCATAATTCAGTCTGTCAACAGCATTAGGAGTTATGTCCAGTAGGGCATGCTTTCCTCTGTCCATCACTTCTCTAATGGCACTCAACCGAATGATCCCAGACGTCTTCGTGCTCTTTCCCCCATCCTCCATCTGGCTTTCCATTTCTAAAAAGGGAGCACAGAATGTACCAAAAAATAGCATAATTTTTCATATTTTGATTCATCTCCACGTTTATCATTACTGAATGTAGATCATGAAAAATTGGAGAAAATGAGTATACAATACTATTTCATTGTCACTGCGCGCCGTTTCGATTAATATTTTATCTTCCTCAGGCTCTTGACGATCGTACACTGAGAGAAAAACAAACACATTGTCAAACAAGTCTTGTTTGGGCCAACAAAATCGCTAGTTGAAAATTGCCAAAAAAGAATTTGTTCGGTTCGAATTTGAATGTCTCAAACATGAATAATTGTTCTGCTTTCGACAGCAACGAAATATTTGGCTCGAGAGGCGGATAATTCACACCAGACGGTGCCTTTTCAGGATGAAAATATCTCATATAGAGGGAAATTTATCAACAAATATTTTATCCCTAAGTTACAAGATTGCTATCATATCGTTATTATTGTTTCATTTAAGGGTTCATTTCTGGTCTGTGATTATTGGACAGCCGAAACGAAAAACTACTGTCCCTTGTTTCGCATAAAACAAAGATTTTTCGGGAGCAAAATACGTATGGGAGTATCGAATAACGAAGGCGTAGTGCTAGAAATGGCATTTCTTGTGTGTACAGAGAATGCAATTTTTTTTTGAACTACTAAATCTATTTTTGCGACAAAAATTTTTCATTCCGGCGCACTCTCCGCATGTTTGGCACGAAAAAATCGTTTTTGATAATTTTCAAAAACATATTTTCTTGGCACAAGTAAGACTTGTTTGAGAACGTTTTTCTCTCAGTGTAGTATGAAGTCTATCACTAATATTTCTAATATTTATAACGACTTGATACTATGATTGTCAAGAGCCTGAGGAAGATTAAATCACTAGCGAAGTGGTAAAACGGTACAAGTCAATTTTGACTATTGCCCAGTTTTCAATGAGTATCTCGCAATCTGCGGGAAATAGCAAAATGTTTTTAAAACCTTTTTTGTAGAGCAGACCAAGAGCTACAACAAATGTAGTTACAAAAATTACGCCATCTCCCTTAGATTCGGAAATATTCCCCAAACCCTCAACTGGGAGACGAGTCGACTTAAACCGTTTTACCACTCCACCACTGAAATATCAATCAAAACATCGCGAATTGACAAGAAATAGTATTGAATGAATTTTTGTAACCCCCACATAACCGAAATACTCACGAGGAGATGTGAATTTATCCGGAAAATCCTTAAGCAATTTCTCCCTAGCGAGATCGGCAACGGGTCCAAACAGCACAACCGGCCTGATGAAGCCCGGATGTCTGAGAACAACTCTCTCATACGCCGGAAATTTACTGACACTGTCCGAGAAGACAACGTCATCCCAGTGATCACGACCGAGTGACTTCGATCGTCGATGACTGCCCCTCCTCCGCCTGAAGAAACTGCCGCGACTCTCACTAGCACTCAATTCCTTTTTGGTAGCGTTAAACTGAGCAGTGGCGAGCTCCTCAGCCCTCGCCTTATTTGGAATAATGCCCTTCTGCACCTCCTGATTATTTCTCCCAATCCTGAATACCTGCCAGGATCCAACGACCCCATTGTGAAGTGTATCAACAACATGAAAAACATCACCACTGCGAAAGCTCATCTCCCCCTTCTCCGGCTGTTCATAATGAAAATGCGTTTTAATGTGAAATGAGTCGCCCCTTCCAGAGGCGACAATCTGCTCGTAGTCCTGCCTCCTGTGCTGAACTATCAAATCAATCTGCTCCTGAAGACTGAGAAGAAACAGCACAGCCTCCTCCCTGGTCACTCCCTTCATGTCCATATCATTGACCTTGAGAATTTTGTCGCCAGGCTGGAGGCCCTGGAGGGACGCCGGACTCCCGGGCTGCACAGCTGTCACGAAGACCCCAGTCTCATTGCCTCCAGTCAGCCTCACCCCTACGGAGCCCTCCTTCTGAAAGGTAATGAACCGAGGGTCTGGCATCGGCTGCTTTGACCGCTGGACGAGAGGATCCTCGTCGTAAATCTGTCTCCTCGAGCTGTAGTAATCTTCCAGCCTCGGGGGAGGGGGTCTCGGTGGGTCCACGGTGGGTGTGGCTGGCAGATCCAGCTGGCTCAGTGATACATCCATTAATGGTCCTCTGGAGCGCCCCCTCGGGGCCAGATTACTCTTGTCCTCGATGGGCTGACGGGTCGGCGGGGGAACGTAGAGATTCTGACTGCTGTAGCTCGCACCTGACAAGTACTCGCCCCCCTCGCCCTTCCCTGGTGGATATCCGGTGGAGGTCGGGGTGTCTCTGGTGACTACGATCGATAATCTGTCCTTGCACTGGTCCATCATCTTCCGGGCCTCCTTGAGACTCATGTTGTCAGCCGCTACTCCACCGATTCTGGTGACAATGTCACCCGGTTTTGCCCCGGTCCCCTCGCGTGTCACTTCGCGAACGTACAGACGACATCCCAGGACTATGCCGAAGTCGTCTTTCTTGTTGTTTCTCGTTAATGTCAGCCGGTGACTCTGCGGCGTACTCGCCGGGGAGCCCGGGCTGTTTCCCAGGGCCCGGCGCTTCACCACGAGGAGAACTGTGGAGCCCGAGTCCCGAAGGACTCGCACAGCCGCTCCGTAGTCCGCACCCTCCAGGGACACTCCGTTCGCGGAGATTATTCTGTCGTTAACCTGGAGCTTTCCCTCCGCTGGACCCGCCTTCAGAACGTCTGATATCGCTATCGCTGGGTCGCCGTTCGTGAAGTGGGGATTGTCTCGGCCGCCGGACACTGCGATACCGAAACCGTAACCGGGGACGCGGGTCACTGTCACGTGGTGCACCTCCCATCCTCGGTCACCAACCTTAAAGCGAAGGAAATTCTTTTGAGAATTATTTTTTGTTGAGGGGACACTTGTGGTGGAAATTCTTGGGTTGATATCTGGGAAAGTTTCTGGCTATTTCTATCACGTTAGGGGAGGGTATTGTTAAATGGATACTTTTGACTTTTTTTGAAATGGTCATGACGTGTTGAAGTGTTCATGAAATGGAATAATTTTATTTGTCAGTAGGAAGAAGAATGATTCCTCTTTGTGATGAGCTTAGGCTGAGCTCAACTGATAAATCTGTTTCTGAGTTAATAATGTTTTTGAAAAAGTCAAAAGTGTCCATTTTACCCCATCCTCCCCTATATTTTCTCTGAAATTCTAAGGAATTTAGTAATTAAGGCCCAGTTGGATTATCTTACGTTATCGAGATTGTTTTTCCATCTTCGTAATGTGAAATGTATCACAATTTTCAGTGGATTTTACATTACGCAAGTGTCCCGAAAAATTATGATTGTACAATAAAAAAAAGTTGAAAAAAAACTGAACATTTTCAAAGAGCGTTTTTAATGAAGATTAAGAAATAAGTCCGATGGAGAGGAAATAGTGAACGGATAATTTATCATGTAAGAGATGGCAACACGCAAAATTGTATCTTTGTTGTTTTTTTTGCGGACAATTGCCAGGCCAATTAATATAATTTCACAATTATTATCATACAGTTGAAAAGAATAATCACTGGAATTTGTAATTAAAATTAAAAATTCTGAATATTCAAATAATTGAAGATTCAAGAATAAATGTACCTGAATTGTCCTTATTTCTATTAATTTTCACGGAATAATTGAACTGGAATTGACAATTTCCATTGATTTTCAGACAGAATTCCTTGAAATTTCAGTGAAATCATCAGATGATAAATTTCCAAGAAGTGTACCTGAAATGTCAGCCCAAAATTTTCGACAGTACTCCCAGTATTGGGTTCCTATAGGGGACCCAAAAGTGGTTTTAAGGCTCTATCTCTCATAGTTTCCGAGATAATCGCGAAAAACGAAATCGC